GTTGTCTGGGCAAGCACAAATGAGGATTTTAATGGATTCATTTGCCTCTTTGGGCTAAAGGGATCAAAGAGTATGGGGAGAAAGCAGGAACAGGGTATTGAATTGGATGATCTGACATGATCATATTGAATGGCAGAGCAGGCTCAAAGGGCTGAATAGCCTACTCCTGCTTCTATTTTCTACATTTCTATCTCCATTTGACATTTGTTGAATCCCTCATTATCACAACCCTGGGTGTTAGCACTGATTAGAAAGTGAACTGGACCAGCCATATAAATATTGTGGCAACAAGAGCAGTTCTGAGGCTGGGAATTCTGTGGCGAGTAACTCGCCTCCTGTCTCCCCAAAGCCTGTCCACCATCTACAAAGCACAAATGAGGAGTGTAATGGATTCATTTGCCTGGATGACTGCTGTTCCAACAACATTGATGAAGTTCGACATCATCCAGGACAAAGCAACATTGGCACCCCATCCACCACCTTAAGCAATCACCTGTGCCTTACTGACTCACAGTAGATGCAGTGTTTTCCATCTTCAAGTTGGACTGCAACAACTCAAAAGGTGGCACCTTTGATGGCACCTTCCAAACCCTTGACCTCTATCATTTGGAAGGACCAGGGCAGTTGATGCATGGGAGCACCACCACTCCAAATTCCACGTCAGGCCACACAACTTCCCTACTTAGAATTATTTCATAATTTCTTTACCGTCGCTGGATCAGATTCCCTCCCTAACAGCAGGGTGTCCCTTTCTTTAAATTCTTTCATGGGGTGTGAGTGCCAGTTTATTACCCATTGCTTATTGCCCTCTAACTGTATAAATTTATTCAATCATTCAGATGACAGCTAAGAATCAACCACATTGCTATCGGCCTGGAATCACATGTAGGCCAGACCAGGTGAGGATGGCAGATTCCCTTCCCTAAAAGTACACCATTGAAGCAGAAGCACAATTGGTGATAGTTATATGGTCACCATACTTCAACCAGCTTTCAATTCTGCATTTTTTTATTAATTGAATTTAAATTCCACTGTCTGCCACAGTGGTATTTGAATCCATTTGCCTGAATTTCTAGATTACATGTCCAGTCACATTATCATTATGCTGTCATCTCACCAAACTCATATGAACTGTAGGAACACAGCAGGCTAGGCAGCATCAGAAGAACAGGAAAGTTGACGTTTCAGGTCGGGACCCTTCTTCTCCAGCTTCATACTTTGTTATTTCTGACTCCAGCATCTGCAGTTCTTGTTATCTCATATGAACTGTAGTTGTTCGAGAAGAAGGCTCACCACCTTCTCAAGACAATTTACAGATAGGCATTCATTTAAAAAAAAATATACTAGACACTATAACATGAACATTATGGGGATATAATGGTAAGCCTTTAGAACCATGGAAAGGAGCAATTGCAACAATGTTGACTTTATGTCAGTGTAGTCTAAAGATAATAAGAAGTACAAGTACAAGCTTAAGCCTGTTTCTATGTTTAACGAGGTCATGGCTACATTTTGACATTGCTTCACCATCCCATCCTCCTGAGTGCTCAAAATGCTATCTGTTTCAGTCTTGATCATACAAAATGACTGAGTGTCATGAGCTGTCTAAGGTAGTGAATTCAAAAGATTCACAATTGAATAAAGACATTTCTCATATGCTCAGTCCTAAATAGCCATGCCCTTATTCTGAGACCATCACCCTTAGTTCTAGACTGTCCGTTGAAGAAAAGCAGCCTATCTGTATCTACCATGCCTTGAAGAACTTTTACGTTTTAATGAGATAATTCTCACTCTTCTAAACACCAGAGAACATAGGCCCATTCCATCTCTCCTTATAGGGTAGCTGTTTCATCCCAGGAATGAACATTTGTTGCACCCCATTTAAAGCAAGTATATCTTTTATGAAGCATGGAGCACAAAAGTGTACCAAGTACTCCAGGTGTGGTCTCACTCAAGCCCTATACAATTGCAGCAAAGTATTCTTATTTTTCTACTCATTTATGTAACTTTATGTACGGAAAACCTCAAATTCCTCTGAATACCGACTTGTCTCTCACGTTTTTTGAAATTAATTTTCCATTTTCCTGACTTAAAGTGTATAACTCCATAATTCTTCACATTACATTGCAGATTCCTTCTTGTTTAATCAGTCTACATCTTTTTGTATCTTCCTCAAAGCCTACTTTCCTTCCTGGCTTTACGTTGCCAGCAAACTTGAATATATTACGTTTGTTCTTCTCACATTAGTCATTGGTATACATGAGGGTTGTCCAAATTTTTCACATGCTGTGAGGGTGCACATTTCAGTTTTTCTATCACATGGAGGACCGGGAGCAAACTTATGAAAGATAAGATTTGTCACAACAGTAAACATGAATTTCAGGCTGGGGTGTGGGGTTGGGGAGAGGGACACAATTTCAAAACAATGTATTGATAATTTAAATGAATCATTAACAAAAACATGGCTAAACAGATGATGTAGGAGGGAGGTTTTCAGATATCTGGACCATTGGGATCTCTTCTAGGGAAGGTGCAACCTGTACAAGGAGGACAGGTTGCATCTAAACTGGAGGGGCACAAATATTCTGGCTGGGAGCTTTGCTGGTGTCACTTGGAAGATTTTAAACCAGCTTGGCAGGGGTGTGGGAACCAAAGCAAAGGTGAATTGACTGAAAAGGAACTAGAGAATAGGGCCAGTAAGACTCCGAAGAAGAGCAGGCAGGGTGTGTTGCTGATCAAAGCGGGTCTGGTGGACTGAAGTGCATCTGTTTCAATGCCAGAATTGTAACAGGTAAGGCAGATGAACTTAGAGCTTGGATTAGTACTTGGAACTATGATGTTATTGCTATTGCAGAGACTTGGTTAAGGGAGAGACAGGATTGGGAGCTTAACGAAACAGGATACAGGTGTTTCAGGTGGGATAGAGGGGATATAAAAGGGGTGGGGGTGTAGCACTACTTGTTAAGGAGAATATCACAGCTGTACTGTGAGAGGACACATCAGATGGCTCATATAGCGAGGCAATATGGTTAGAGCTCAGGAACAGGAAGTGTGTAATCACAATGCTTGGTGTTCCTCCCAACAGCCAGCAGGAGATAGAAGAACAGATGTGTAGGCATATTTTGGCAAGATGTAAAAGTAACAGGGTTGTTGTTGTGGGTGATTTTTACTTCCCATATATTGACTGGGACTCACTTAGTGCTTGGGGCTTGAATGGGGCAGAGATTGTAAGGAGCATCCAGGAGGGCTTCTTGAAATAGTATGTAGATAGTCCAACGAGGAAAGGGACCGTACTGGACCTAGTACTGGGGAATGAGCTTGGCCAGGAGGTCGACGTCTCAGTAGGGGAGCAGCTTGGGAACAGTGATCACAATTCAGTAAGCTTTAAGGTACCAAAGATAAGTGTAGTTGTCAGGTGAAGGTAGTAAATTGGGGGAAGGCTAATTACAACACATTAGGCAGGAACTGAAGAATGTAGATTGGAGGTAGATGTTTGAGGGCAAGTCAACATCTGGTATGTGGGAGGCTTTCAAGTGTAAATTGCTGGGAACTCAGGACCAGCACATTCCTGTAAGAATGAAGAATAAGTATGGCAAGTTTAGGGAACCTTGGATAAAGAGAGATATTGTGAGCCTAGTCAAAAAGAAAAAGGAAGAATTTGCCAAGGCTAGGAGGCTGGGAATACATGAAGCAAGAATGGAATACACGGAAAGTCGAAAGAAACTTAAGCAAGGAGTCAGGATGGCTAAAAGGTGTCATGAAAAGTCATTGGCCAACAGGATTAAGGAAAATCCTAAGGCTTTTTATACATATATAAAGAGCAAGAGTGTAGCCAGGGAGAGAGTTGGCCCACTCAAGGACAGGGAAGGGAATTTATGTGAGGAGCCGGAGGAAATGGGTGAGGTATTAAATGAGTACTTTGCATCAGTATTCACCATAGAGAAGGACTTGGTGCATGATGAGTCTGGGGAAGGGTGTGTAGATAGTTTAGGTCATGTTGAGATCA